TAATATTATTTTAATATTATTTGATATTTTGGGGGTGTGCTGTGGATTGAACTCAGGGGCCTTCAACCGCTGAGCCCCATCCCCAGCCTTTTTAAAATTTTTTAAATTTTCAGACAGGGTCTCGCTAAGTTGCTCAGAGCCTTGCTAAACGGCTGAGGCTGGCCTCCAACTTGTGATCCTCCTGCCTCAGCCTCCTCAGCCTCCGGGCCCTGTGAGTTCTTGACCCGGGGGGGGCTGGGGTTGTGGCTCAGTGGTAGCATGCATGAGGCACTGAATTCAATCCTCAGCACCACACAAATGTAAAATAAAGATATTGTGTCCACCTAAAATTTAAGAATAAATATTTTTTAAGAAAAAGATCCATCAACCATTCAATAATATTTTTAAAAACTTTGTTTTGGGAGGAAATGACTTACTCCAGGGTAAGTAACCCCTTAAGATAACACCTTGATAAAGAGACACTAATTCTTTTTCACTCTTTTCTGGACTGTTATTTCAAATAGAAATTGAGTAAACTTTGCCAAATACTCCTGATCTGCCCATTAAAATTCCTCACAATCATGAGTACTAATTTGTGCAACACTTGAGAGCTATGAAATATTTATTAAAGTATGATATCCTTTGCTTTTAGAACATTTTTTTCCTTGGTCAGAGACACCAATGACTTAGAATTTGGACCAGTCTTGATTTTCATAAATAATCTAAATACACATGATGAGAGATAGGTATACATCTGGAACCAAATATATTTGCTGGAGTCTTATCTAAATGTTCCGTAAATATTTATAAAATAAAAGTTGATATAGATGTAATCAATAAGTACTATCTTTTAGAGATTGAATTGGGCATCCAGGGCCACACTGCCATTTGAAAAAAATAAATTATTTTTTTAAATACTTATTTTTTAGTTATAGTCGGACATAATAATCTTTATTTAATTTTTTCATTTTTATGGGGTGCTGAGGATCGAACCCAGGGACCCTGCTCATGCTAGGCGAGCGTTCCACGGCTGAGCCACAATCCCAGCCCCCCAAAATTTATTTTTTTAATATTTATTGTTTTAGTGGTAGTTGGACACAATACCAGTCATTATGCCACTAGAGTCATAGATCAATATGGGCTGATAGGTTAAAATAGATGCAGACAAGGTTAAATCAATACAGTGCGATCAATTGTATTAGCTTGATCACGTAGACATAAGGCTCATAGATATCAGTCGTAAAATAATGAGTGAATGAGATCCCTGCAAGCATTAAATTAGTTACTAGTACTGGGGTCGCAGCAATGGAGTCACTGTGGCTATATAAACAAAACATGTGGCCATAGGGACCCCATCTAGCTGTTCTAGATGACTCTGTCTTACTCTTACGGCTCCTGTGGAGACAGAGCTGCAGGATCCACGTCTGGAAACAGAAATAAAAGCTGTTTTCTCTTAAAAAAAAAAACAACTGTCTTTCTGCACTTGGTACCCCACCAAAATGTCCCCAACTCAGGATATGACGGTGGTCCTGGTGAACTACATCCTGGATTTGAGGACATTTGTGGGTCCACATCAGGATACGGTTGTCTAACACACTTGCTTGGGCCCGAGATGCCATGAAGCTAACTTGCTAAATTGCTGAGGCTGGCCTCCAAATCCCAATCCTCCTCCCTCAGCCTCCCAAGTCACTGGGATGACAGTGGCTGGGATTACAGGTGTGCACCACCACGCCCGGCAGGATGCTTTATTCAAGACCTATTTTACCCAGGTTTTGCTCCATGCTCTGCTCTATCTCTTCTCACTTAAATAAACCCCGCTCTGCTTACTCTTCCCCTTCTAGGTGGGTCCCTGGATTTCTTTTTTCAAAATTTGCAAAACAAGAAATTGGCAAAGCGGGCCATCTAGTCTCAACTCCAAACTCTGGTTTCATTACTATCAAATTCCAGATGAACTAGAGTCACCACAGCCCTGCACAGAGGGCTGAGGGTCAGCAGCAGCTTATGCTAACCCCCTCTGTAAGGTCAGAAGTCCAGATTCCAGAATGTAGTGTCTACCCAGTGAGTTTGCAAAAATTCACTCTTTCCAGGTGCAGCAAATCTTTTAAAAATAAGCTGTCTCCACCCCTCCACTGCCTTCCCAAATGCTGCTCCTAGGGAGGTGCTAAGAAACCGGGAGGAGCCAGGGCACAAAAGGGGTCTTAGCTGCTTTCCTGTGTTACCAAAAGCTAAGTCCTTGTTCCTGATGCCAATCCAATAACAAGGATATTATTATTATTATTATTATTATTATTATTATTATTATTATTTTGTCTGTTTTAGTACCAGGGATTGAGTCCAGGGGTGCTTAACCTCTGAGCCCCCGTCCCCAGCCCTTTTCATATTTTTTTTAAAGACAGGGTCTCTATGAGTTGCTTAGGGTCTCACTAAGTTGCTGAGGCTGGCCTCCAACTTGTGATCCTCCTACCTCAGCCTCCCAAGAGGCAAATGCTCTATACCAACTGAACTAACATCCTCAGCCCCCCAAAATTCTTGTTTTGGGGTGTTAGCAGGATTTGAACTCAGGGGCACTCAACCACTCACCGCATCCCCTACTTGTACTCGTGGGACTTGTCTAGGCCCTTTTATCAGCGCTGGGGATGGGATGCTCAGGCCCCGCCCACAGACCTAAGCCACGCCCATAGACTGAGCCCCGCCCCCACAGCCAAGGCCACTCCCCCACTGGCCCAGGCGGAGTCCTGTGTAGAGGGCGGTTGGAGCCAGGCTCGTGGATGGTCCCGCCCACCCCTCGCCCTATTGGATCTCAGGCCCGCGCTGGCCACGCCCCCTCACAAGCCCCGACCCCGCCCTGCAGCGGCTCCCAACGGACAGGCACTGGGAGCCCCCAAACGCTGCGCCTTGCTACCCCGAACTCTGGATGGCCGCTGGGTCCCGGTGGCAGGGCGGGAGCAGGTCCCCGCTGCTCCTGTTCCTGGTCCCTGCTGACCTGACCTGGGGGGCTGCTCTGCTCCCCGGGGCACCTGTGAGGGCCTCCTGAGGATGCCATGGCCACCAGCCTTCACCCAGTGCCATTGGGGCCGTCGTGGGACAGGGTGAAGAGCAAGAAGAGTTAGGGAAGGCTCCGGGGTGAGCCAGGGAGGGACCCT